AAAAAAAAAAAAAAATTAAGAGACCTAGAAAATAACTAGAGAAGCTTCAACAGATAATAATAAGAGTTTCAGAAGAAGAGAATGGAGTGGTAAAGGATCATTATTCAAAGAGAAAATAGCTGGGATTTTTTCCAGAAATGATGAAAACCCTGTCTTTCTAATTAAATTAAATCTTATTAAATATATTAAGTAAAAATAAATCCACGTTGAAAGTCATTGCTGTGAAATTGCAGAACACATAGGAAAGTGGTGGAGGGAGCTTCAAAAATTACCCCAAGAAAAAAATTAAAAATGACCTACACACCAACAGTAGACATCATCAACAGCAACAGATGTTGAGTGGTTTAATATTTTTAAAGTGCTGACGAAAATTACAAATGTCATGGTATAGAACTCTAAACCCAAACAAACTACCTTCAGGAGTGAACATAGAAAAAATTCTAAATTTCATTGGTTATGTGCCTTATTCAGATAGTTGTACTGAAACTGATAATTCAATACCTAAAAAGCATCTGATCAAATCAGAGGTCAGAAGAATCTCCAGGAATGCCGATGAGGAAGACCAAAATGTTTGAATATGCAATGCTTTCAATGTGACTTGTGAGCTCCTTCTGCAAATAGCCTTTTTTTCTGCAGCTTATGGTTGACCTTTCGGTGATTTTCCTACCCAGTATGCCTACCACAAAAAGCACCAGGTTCACCAGAATGAGGATAATTTTGGACAACAAGGTCACTTCAACTCAGGAACATGGCTGTGATTGTTGACATGGAAGAAGTCATGCTTGGGGCCACTAGGTGGAGGCATGAGGAAAAAACCACACCACCAAGTACAAAGACTTCTCCACTACCCTCCTCCCAAAGGAACTCAAAGTTCTTGGCTGGAACTCACCAAAGTGGAATAGGGTATCCTCCAAGTTAATTTTGGCTTGCAAAGTAGAACTTGCACTTCTGGCCATGAAGAATAACTAGTACTTGACTTGTCCTTCTTCTGCCTAGAAGTAGAAAACTGGAGGGCAGGCAGCACAGACTGTGATTGCTCAGAGAAGAGAAATTAACGAGGGAACCCTATGATCACTCAGACTTTCTACCTAAAGACACTTTCTAGACCACAACACGGGGGTAACCCTAAACAAAGCACAGTTATCTTACTGACATGCTTACATGTTGAAATGCTAATATTTTGGCAGTCATGGGTTAAATAGAATATAATGTTAAAATTAAATTTTAAAAAAAGAAAGATGTTCTACTGGCCAGCATGTAGCCAGAATGAAAAATATGCAGGAAAGAATATTTAAAAATCCACATTTGGCTTTCTTACTAATAAAATCTACTCCTTGAAATTTATACCTTCATATCCACTTTCCAGTATGTGGAATATGATACTGTTTAACAAATAATCATGTGCTGTTTGGAAGAGGTCTTCTTGGCAGTAGCAACCTATGTAAATAATTATTTAACTGCTAAAGGGAAGTTAAAAGAAGTACCTTCTAAGAGACCCAAGAAGCATTAAAGATTCATAAAAGAGTTATATTTAGCAACAGTTAGAGAAAAGGAACACAAAAACAAAAAGCAAGCCCCCACCAAAAAAGAGAAAACCAGAAATACCAAAAACATTATAATTTAGTATATTAAGTATTTTTACCTATATATTTCCAAACATAAGGGGCAAAAATATCCTCCATAAATGGAAGTTCTTTATGTAGTTCTGGATATCTGCTTCAGTTTATAACTATCTTCACAGTTTACATTTATAGAAATATATTATTTCTTAAAATTCACATTTAATACAAACTTTCAAAGATATTTAAATGTAGGATAGCATTAAGGAGAAGGCTTGTAAGTCTCAGAACCTTCAGGGCATGACAAGAGCAATTCCTAAATCCAGATGTTGATTTTACCATTGGTATGTATAAGCTGCCATTTGTAACAAAATACATGGGACATTATTGAACATTTCAGGGGGCAGGGGATAAAAACAGGAATCTATTTTATCATCTTTGATGATAGACATGGGTTCATGATTTGTCACAAAGCTACCTTCTCTGAGAGCAGTTAATATCTCCAAACCAGGCTAGAATTTCTAAGGGCAGTCTTGCCTTTTGTTAGATTATTCAGTACTTTTTTTGGTGATACTTTCATGTTTGGGGTGTATTAGGTCATTAAGATGAGCACCAAGGAGAAACTGGAGAGGTGGCAAAGCTCTAGTAATACTCTCTGGCTTCTTTGATACCTGAGAAAGAAGTAAATGATTTTGAGCCAGTAAAATGCATACAAATATATAATATTCGAACATCATAATTTAATGTTTATGTGAACTCACATTTGAAATCAATATAATAAGACACCAATAATCTGTGCAAATGTCTGAGGTAGAGCCTTATTTAAATTCTTCATTCAAATATATATACTTTACAAAAATGTTTTCCTCTCAGAGTTGTAAACAAAGTTTAGAAATATGGTAAAATCTCTAGAATTATCAGAGGTAATTTAGAGGCAAAGTGGTTTGATTCAGTAACTGACATTTCAACGAAGGGTCATAGCTTCTTCTATTGATTCACGGAATGGGGTTAGCCTGTGGATAGACATTTATACTAACCTACACTGATTACATTCATACTACAGAATCTTATGTTAGATACCAGAGCATAATCTTAATCTTTCAGTACTTAGCAGGCCACTGCATTTACTCTTGATAACGTTTGTCTTCCCAACTAGATTTTAAACATCCTTGGAGGCAGAATCATTAGATGTTCAAAAATCTATAAATATGTTGTCTCTTCAGAGCTAATAAATGATAAAATGTACCCAGTAAAAAAACAAGCACTATTTACAGCCAGCTATTAAGAATCTTTTCAAACACTAATTGTATATACTGAGAACTGAATTCATTGTTTTTCGCTCTAGACCATGCTTTGGTTTTCATTTTGATTTCTGGAGTTTGAATTTTCTGAGTCCTTGATGATGATATTCTGAATTTTCTCTGCAAGAGCAGTAAGATTGGCTTTTTTGAGACCTTTAATCAAAGTGTCATATGCATCTTTCTTCCCATGAAGCTGATACCAATTACGAAGCAGCTGAACTTTCTGTTCTGCTGTGTCTTTGATATTGTCATTCTTGATCTCATCTATTTTGGCTTCATTGACACCATTCTTCCGAACAAAGTCTCTAACTTGACTTATTGTCATGTGTTCAGCAATAACGGTGATATATTTACTCAAGTCAACGTCTGAAAAATAGAAGATAGTCTGAAAATTTGTTTTTCTAAATGCAATTCCCATTACTGAAAATCATGATTATTTCTCTTTGTATAGTACTTCAGAATATAGCTAAGTCCTAAAGACCTATAAACAGCTGACTGGGGGAATACAGAAACAAGACAACCTTGAGTTCTTACTCCAAATCCTGCCATGTACCCAGTAATTTGCTATATGACCTTGACACAACATAACATTTCTGTATCTTCTTTTCTTATCTATAAAATAAGAGGATTGTAAAAGATCACCTATAACACCCCTTTTGGATCCAATGATTAATGATCCACAAATCTAAAAGTATAAGCAGAGTTTATGATCATCTTATTTCTAAATCACAGATCAAAGAACAACTGAATGGAATCATGTATGTTGTTATAGAGTTGGGTACACCAGTAATACCTGAGTCTACAGTTCACTTTAAATTCTAGATCTGTTTAGGCAGTGTTCTGTAATACATCTAGTTGATTATGAAGGAAAATTTTCTTAAGCCTCAGACTATTGTATTCTATTGTTACTTGATTCATTTTTAACTATGAGTATTCATTATAAATTTAAACAAACTGCCTAATAAATGCTTTATGCTGAGCAGGTAGAATTGTATGAGAAATAGCAAGATCCCACAGTATGTCACTGAAATTAGCAACATTATTTGACTCTGAAATTGGCCTTTTACTCTAAAAGAAGCGATCTCTATGAAATAAAATGATAAAAGCCTTACCAGATAAATTCATTGGCACTGTTTCCTAGAAAGCAAAAAATAAAATCAGAGAAAGACAAATAAAAATATGTTTAGAATATTCTAAATGTAAACTTCTAATTTTTCCTTAATTTGGAAAAAGAAGTACAATGAGTTGCTTGATGTATAAAATTAGGAAACTAGATAAGGGATTAAGAAGGATACTTTCACCATTCAACTTTGATTCTGAAAGGTTCCAGCCTTGCCAGAAACTAGGCAATATTGTCTTAGTTTTTAAAGGCAAGAAACCTAAAGAATTCATAAAGTAGTTTGAGGTTATTTTTCATATAGACTTATTAAAATAATAAATATAATCACTCTAAAATTTCTTCGTTGAAACTTATTCTTATTTTTGATGCCAGAAAATGGTTCAAATTATAATTTTTTGTACCATTTTAATTTAAAGAATCCTAACTCCTGCTGAGCCCTGGCCCCAAATAAGAAAATAATTCCATTTAGTGAAACTGTTTTCTTTTCTCAGTGTATTTTTGCTATTTGGAATGTATTTGGAATGTATCGATACCATGTTGGGAAAAGATATGGTGAGACATAAGGTTGACGGGCAAGCAAGGAAAGTTAAGTTGTGCCTTTATGACAAACTTTAAGAGTAATCTCTTTGCTCAGGCTTGGATACTGAACCCATGCCTGGTAAAGGCTGATTCTCTGCAGGGATAACAACAATATGGAACATGGAGGTTGGCCATGTTCTTTTTTCAACTCATTTTCAGCACACTCTCAATTTCCTCTTTATTGATTCTCATGGCTTTTGCATAGAAGCTTACTTTTAAATTGGGTGCCATATCATCGTTCATCTGTGAGGCCCCTTTAACCTAAGCACACACAAACATAATCAGTCTTTAAATAAAGAAAGTAACAGGCTGGATGTGATGGCTCACACCTATAATCCCAGCACTTTGGGAGGCTGAGGCAGAGGAGCTGCTTGAGGCCAAAAGTTTGAGACCAGTCTGGGCAACAAAGTGAAGCCCGTCTCTAAAAAAATTTGCCTGGCATGGTGGTGCATGCCTGTAGTCCCAGAGTCCCAGCTGAGGCAGGAGGATCACTTGAGCCCAGGAGTTTGAAGCTGCATGAGCCATGATTGCACCACTGCACTCTAGCCTGGGCTATGGAGTGAGATTCCATTTCAAACAAGAAACAAAAAAGCAAAAGAAAGTAAAA